CTTTTTGTTAAAATGAACGAAATTTAAAGAGTATTTTATAATGTCTAATGGAACTGAACATTATTTTTATGTTTAGATGCATTTAAACTGATCAAATTTTATTTCAGAGAAAATTAAAATTAAATTTTGTTTGATTAAAACCCTGCTAACATGGAAGTACCCAAGAATCATTTGAGGCACATAATGCTTTATGAGTTCAAGAAAGGAAACTCAGTAGCCAGTTTATGGGGAGGAATGTGTGAATGAAAGAACTTACAGAAGATGGTTTGCAAAATTCAGAGGTGGAGATTCCACCTTTGAAGATGAAGATCGAACCGGACGTCCAGTAGAGTTTGATGAAAGGCTTCTAGAAGCAGCCCTTGAATAAAACCCTGCTTTATCAGTTGAGGAATTGGTAGTGGTTCTCAGTTCAAACCATACAATTGTTCATCGTCATCTTCAACAACTTGGAAAAGTTCCTAACTTGGAAAATGGGTGTCTCATGAATTGTCTGAAAACAACCTCAAATCCCGAGTTGACATCAGGTCCTCTCTCCATTCTTGCCAACTTGTTTCACCTTTTTTGGATAGACTTGTGACTGGCGACGAAAAATGGATCTTTTATCGAAATGTTAAGCGTTAGACAGTGGCTTGGTAAAGGGGAAGGACCCCAGCCACAGCCGAGAAGGGAACTTCATGGGCAAAAGGTTCTTCTTTCAATCTGGTGGGATCGCCAAGGAATAATCCACTTTGAATTCTCACCACCTAATGCAACAATTAATGCTCAAATATACTGTCAGCAATTAGATCGTTTGAACCAAGCTTTAAGGAAAAAAAAGATCTGCTCTAGTGAATCGAAAAGAGGTGATGTTTCATCAGGACAATGCGCGACCCCACATAGCAAGAATCACGTCACAAAAGATCGAAGAACTTAGTTGGGAGAAAATTCCTCATTCACCTTATTCTCCCGATCTTGCTTCTTCAGACTACCATTTGTTTCGTAGCTTGCAGAATCATTTTGAAGAAACATCTTTTGTAACACAGGAAGAGGTTAAAACTGACATTTGTGAATTCTTCGAATCAAAGCCAAAAGAATTTTACAGTAATGGAATTAGTAAGCTTGTTAATAGATGGAAGGAAGTCATAGATAATCAGTGAAAATACATTGTTGATTGAATCTGTAATTAAATGTAACATTTGGTCACTTGTTTTCTTTATTCAAAATTCGGACAGAACTTATGTGGTGACCTGATACTATGATATAAGTACAATCTATAGTGCATCAAAATTAAGATTTGATTAAATTAGAAATCAATATAAAAAAAATAGATTTAACAGTTGAATTTAACATTAAAATTCTAAGATTTTCAAGAAGTTAATCAAGCATCAAGTTTAATATTATTTGAAGATTATTCATAAATTAAACCAGGAGAAAAAAATAGATATAAATTTAGGTAACTCCATGAGATCGCTAAAAAAAGAGCATGGCATGATGAAAAAGACGCCAAACTTGACGAAAACAAAATTCTATCGTCTAAATGCTTATGTTATTATTAAGAGGAAAGACCAAAGTTTTATTTTAATTATTTTAAAAATTTTTTCCTTTTTTTTAGAACATTCTAAATTTTGATTAAAAAAACCTTGTTTCTCTTTGTATCACCGGAACTAGTAAAATAACAGACAATTTTTAGACAATTATAAATTTTTAGCACTTTTTTTTTTTTTTTTTTTTTTGTATGACACATTAATTTGGAAAATCTTGCAAAAATAAAAATAAATGTCGGATGTTAAGGAATCTTTCAGAAACTATTCACAGATGATCGAAATTATAATAAACATTTTTTTTTTTTTATTAAAGTCAAGACAGAAATATTTTTTTTATATTTATTACACCCTCCCCTAACTAATTCTATGAATACGCTAGAAATTCGATAGCATCGGGTTTAGTGATTACAATAGTTAAAAGGACAAGGCTTTGAGGAATGCAAATCATGTTTTTTTTTTGTCTTTAATTTGATTCCCTCTACCTGAAAATCAGCTTTGAATTGTAACATACAAAACTCAATAAAACAAAGATATTATTTAATTTCAAATGCTTTTATTTGCTTTTAGTTATTTTTATGAATATGGACAATATTTTCTGAAAACAAAAACTTTTTCGATGAAAAATGAATTTTGAATACAATTATTTTTTATTTCTTTAATTATAATAGATTTTTACATTTAAGTTGTTAAAATATTATAAAATTAGTGTTCTTATGAGATAGATCTTTTTTAGCGCGTTGTAAATTGTATCATTTTGACTAATCAGAAGATCCGCAGTAATTAAGAAAGGTAATTTTGTGTTTATAATCGGGCTGTAATTATAAAGTACGGAAGACCAACCAGAATACAATTAAGCTGCGTTATTTGAATTAAGCATTGTTCTCTGCTGTTAAGGCCTTTACTTTTGCGAAACACGTGTGGAGAAGTTAATTTGATTTTTCAATTTCAACTGAGAAGGGTACCTACAAGTATTAGTATCATCTTATGAAATTCATATGATCTTATTTTTATATTAATCTCAGTTATGACATTTTTCCATAAATGAAATATCAAAATTAATAATAAAATGAATGGAAATACAAATAACAGTAAAATGTAATAAATGTACATAAAATTATAGTATTTTATGTACACTTCTGATAAAATTGCATAAGAAAAGTACCTATAAATTAATTAGATCCTTACATCGGTGTGCCCACATATACTTCCATTCAGACATATACATATGCTGGAGCTAATTTTTATTTGCACACATAACGCACATGCACATACATGCATATACACATCATAGAGGCTTTTTTTTAATAATATATGTAGACACAGGCACAGACACAGACACACACACACACACACACACACACACACACACACACACACACACACACACACACACACAGACGTGTGTGTGTGTGTGTGTGTGTGTAGAGAGGCACGGAAGAATAATGGATAGTGGCTCGGATCGAGGAAACGGTGAGCAGAGTTCGAATTTCAGTCGAATTCATTACATTCACATACACTTGCGAAAAAAAATCCTCCAAAAACCCCCAAAAAACCTGCGGAGTGTTGTTTAGTGACCTTGCATCAGGTCTCTGTATTCAGCCCTTCAGAAAGTGTGGTTGGTTCTGCACAAAGCCTTCATAAGCACACAATAAAATCATATGTGTCTGTGTCTGGCTAAAAACTGAGCTGGTTGACATTCATACGTCGAATACGACGGGAAAGTCCACCATATATACACATATTCATATATACAACAGCTAGTCCAGTTCCACACCGGAGAATGGGTGAAAACAGACAACTGGCGCCTCATAACCAGCTCATGCTAGGTAGATGGCATTTGGTAGAGAAAGGAAAACCCTGAACCTTAAGGTGTAGTTTGACTAATACTGCATTCAGAATCGCTCCAAACGCAGTGCAGTAAAGAGGGCTGTAAAGAAACAAATTGGACCCCATGAATTCTGGAAGATCACTAACCAAATCATGAGCAGAAGCAAGGCTGTGCCCCTTACTAATAATGGCCCCTTTACAGACAAGGCGAAGTTCTTCGTCTCGATCTTTGCCTCCAACTCAACGTTAACAGCTATCCCCTTCCCAACTTCCCACTTAAGGGAGATTTGAAGATTATTAAAAGCCTTGTCCCTAAGAAAGCCACTGGCCCAGACAAAATTATATGTCCTTGAGTATATCAACTCGGAACTAGTTCTTTGAAGGAGAAATCCTCCCCAACCCTTTTCAGGGTATCATCAAAAAGAAGCTTGTCGAGCACCTAAGAACAACTTATTGATCGACGATTAGTACGGGTTTGGATCGGTCTGATCCACTGCTGATGGCCTAACTAACATTACTCACAGAATTAGTGTGGCTCTTGAAACTGAAAGTACACAGATGATATTGAACAATTTATGTTCAAATTCCTACCGGAAATCAAAGAAATGGTCTGGAGAAAGATTAGAGAAATTAAAAAAAAAAAGAAAAAAAGTTTAGCTCTTAAGCCAAACCTCTATGCACGCGCGCACGCACACACACACACGCAGACATACACTCGCAGACACATAGATAGCTAGATAGCTAGATAGATAGATAGATAGATAGATAGATAGATAGATAGATAGATAGATAGATAGGAAAAGCCTATGATAGACAATGAACAGGCAAACAGGGGACAAACAGACAGACAAATAGACAGCTAGACAGATAAATAATGAACAGACTAAGATAGATAGATAGATAGAAACGGACTGACATAGATAGATAGATAGATAGATAGATAGATAGATAGATAGATAGATAGATAGATAGAAACAGACTGAGATAGATAGATAGATAGATAGATAGATAGATAGATAGATAGATAGATAGATAGATAGATAGATTTTCTGAACTACGCTATGCGCTTATATTTTATTTATCTACTAGTGAGACGTCAAGTGAGAGAAAAAACCTTTTACACAAAATCACAAAACACCATGGATTGATTAACTTTTTATTTTTTATTTTACCTCTTATGGCTTATTGAATAGCACGCGCTGCGTAACTGTCCATGTAACTATAGCAAGGCGTGTACCGTCTCATCAGGGTACCTTTTTCTGTCAAGCATTATAGCATTACTCACCCATACTCCTCATATACTGCAGGCTGAAAATGACAATGTGTTCCACTTCTTGTGAATTTAGTGTTTTGGGACACGTGATCATTTTTTTTTTTTTTTTTTTAACCAATCAGCGTTGAAACAAGCGCATTTGTAAAACTGTTCATTCCAACCTTCTCTCTCTTCTCCAGTAAACCTCTCTGCAACCTCACTCCACTTATTGCTATTTTGTTTCGTAAAGCCAGCAACCCCAGGGGAAATTTAAGGATATAATAATAATCGAAATATAATGACATCGATGTCAGAGGTTAAAAAATCAATTAATTAGTTTTTTTTCGTTTTGTTTTTTATTTTTATCGTTCGACGGTCAAAGATGGTATTGTTCACTTATGACAAGAACGGATTCAGAAACTGAGTCGGACGATATATTTAAGTCAAGGTTGAGGCTGGTCGAGAGAAGGGGGTGAGGACGTCCAAATGGGGGTGGCGGATGAAGAATGAGGGTGGAAGTTTTTAGCGGAATAATAAAGATGCGGGAGTAACGAGTAAAATGTAGAGGGGAAAGAAAGATATGGCAGACATTAGTCGAAACTTGATAAAAACCAGATGCCAAAAATAACGGTGCAGATACCAATCTTTAATGTTTAGCGTGTACGGATGGCAACGGCAATAAATATAATGACATGCTGGCCGGATGTCGTAAAAGACCCCAGTCAATGCTGCGCCTATAGTCCAAGTAAAGAGTTTGACGGTGGCCACACATATTCCAAGAGTGGCTGAGGGAGACAGAATAGGTAGTAGGAAGAGTTCAAATGAACAGTAGGGAGGTGAGAATAGGCTAACTGGTAAGAGGCATTCGGCTTCATACCCTACAAATAAACAGGTCGATCTTACTCCTCTCCCTCCCTATCTATCTATCTATCTATCTATCTATCTATCTATCTATCTATCTATCTATCTATCTATCAAAAATTCTATTGGTTGTTCACATACACACACACATACACACACACATGCACACACACACACACATTCACATACACACTCTGTTCTCATTTTTTATTTTTGTCGATTTTTAATTTTTCATTCGTTATTTTCTTTCTTCATTCATTCATCACTTTTATGATTTCTTTAATTTCCTATATTCTTTTTTAACCAAGCATTCTTAACAGTTTCTTTCTTTTTCCTTCTTTCTTTCTTTTAAGATTAATTTTTTCTTTTCTTTTTCTATCCGTTTCTTTCTTCCTTTCTTTTTTATCTGAACTCATTCCCTGTTTCTTTTCGTTCTTTTTTTTCTCATCTCTAATTCAGGTGCATTGTCATCATTTTAGCTATTTTTTTCTTATGTATTTATGCTAATTCTTTGTAATTTCTTTCTTTCTTTCTTACCTATCCTTTCTTTCTTTCTTTCTTTCTTTTCTGTTTGTTTTTATTTTCATTTTCTACCTTTCTATTATCGCTTTGTTATCTCTTTCATCCGGTTTCATTTGCTTTCATTTTACCAACTTTCCTTCCTTCCTTCATTTCTTTCTTTCTTTCTTTCTTACCTATTCTTTCTTTCTTACCTATCCTTTCTTTCTTTCTTTCTTTCTTTCTTTCTTTCTTTCTTTCTTTTCTTTTTGTTTTTATTTTCATTTTCTACCTTTCTATTATCGCTTTTTTATCTCTTTCATCCGGTTTCATTTGCTTTCATTTTACCAACTTTCTTTCCTTCCTTCATTTCTTTCTTACCTATTCTTTCTTTCTTTCTTTCTTTCTTTCTTTCTTTCTTTCTTTCTTTCTTTCTTTCTTTCTTTCTTATTTTTCATTTCCTCTTACTCAACTCTCGATCTTTGCTCTTATTTAACAATTCCTCTTTCTTTCTTTCTTTCTTTCTTTCTTTCTTTTTCTTTCTTTCTTTCTTTCTTTCTTTCTTACCTATTCTTTTTTTCTTTGTTTCTTTCTTTGTTTCTTTCTTTCTTAACCCATACTTGATCTCACTTCCACTTAATCATTGTATTCTTGTCCGCAATGACTGACTTAGTCATAGCTTGGCATCCACGCGTATAAAGAGACCTCCCCGTCCACTCCCGACATATTGTCCTCTCTTCGTAGGAGAGCTCCATCTGTACCTCGTCCTTTCTTTATTTCCATTTTTTCCACGATCACAATAATTATCAACATTAAAGAACCATTTGCTACATTTCAACGTCTAACCTCTTCCTGCCTAATTCAGTGTATTTCTCGTTACATTTTCCGACAAGCGGAAACGTTCATTTTAAAATGCATTTCTTTTTCGTTGAATTACTACTGACATCTAAATTCCATTCCTCTTTTAGTATACGTTCCATCAATATCGAGTGAAAAAATGCAAACGCCAGTATTGTGCGATAAATTAAATTTAAATCTAAGTTTCAGTAAAAGTCAGAAGCGGGAAATTTGAAAAATAATAGCAAAGTACATCTTGTAAACGGCTCTAATTTTCTTTTCACAAAACCAGTCTCTTTATTCCTAAATTCGTCTACCCGTGACAATCGAACTCTCTCTATTTACCAACATCCCCACAAGGCCAGTTTGTAACGTGGGGCATTCCGGGCCTGGAGGCTCGAGCAAAAAATTGACCGTAGACCCCCATATACACGGGGTCTGTTTTGTCTACCTCCCCAAACGAGAAAACTGTTAGTAAAATTGTCCATTCCTCTTCTCACGAGGCCCATAGCTCCAATTACTATTGGTACAGTCTCAGTCTTCAATCCCTACGTCCTGTTAATCTTGACCTCCAGGTCTTTGGACAATTTCTCGATAATTTTCATGGGGGCTTCTCTTAGATAGAACTGCTTTATCAATAAGAAAACACTTCTTGAATTTCTTGTTTTTTTTTATGATGATATCAGGTCTGTTGGCTTTTATTTCCCTGTCAGTTTGAATTGGTATGTCCCAGAGGATAGTTACGTCAGGGGTAGCCTCGTCTGGATTCCTCTACGCTCGGAGGCAGAGAGTTCGACAAGGGAGGAAGAGAAAGCCTTCTCAGAGGAACCCAGACTAGGCTATGCCGAAGGGCAGACTCTCATTTGGGGAGGTAGAGAAACCCGACAATGTGTATACGGGATTTACGGGCAAGTTTTGTCAGAGCCTACAGGTTCGAAATTCCCCCCCACGTTAAAACCTGGCCTTGTGCCACATTTTGCCTTGTGGGGAAGTTGGTACATAGAGAAGACAATATTAACGGATAATGAACTCAAAAAGATTGTTTGTTGCAGCAAGGTAAAGACTAGAAGTGGAAAAAAAAAAAACAGACTAAGAGAGAACGATTGACTTTGAAAAAGTACGATAGTCAATGTTTGACACTAAATGTTTTACGAACGACGACATAGTCATGCAATAAAATTTAAAGAAATACACGTGGTTATATTGTCATAACACACATATATTTCAAACAGAAACAGCGGCTTCTAATCCCAACCATTTTTAAAAAAGAAAAACTTAACGACCCCCACTCCACAGATGACACTAAGTCAGAAATACAGACATCAATCAGTCCTGGTTGCTTCTCGTAGATACATATTTCTTATCCATGCGAATACTCGAGATTTATTACTCGAAAATACAGCAATTGTGGCACAAGGCCAAAAAAGGGGAATGGGTTGCGGCTGCTCGTCACTAACTATCTTATACCTAGTTAATCCGATTCATTTATTCGTTATAATTTACACATCCCCCCCCCAAAAAAAAAATTCGTCAGTCATCATTCAATCCTCCATACACCACAATACCGCATACATACAGAGGGACCTATAAAAATGATATGAAAATTCGTGTATATAAAAGTTTATCGACGATAAGTAATGAATTTGGAGTGGGGGGAACGAACCCGAAATCAAACTAAAATATAAGAAAATACGTAATTTTCGAATACTCTGAAGTAAACATTGAATAAACAAATCTTATTCTTCTACGTTCTATGTCACTGTTTACAACTTTCTATTCTTTGTAGTTCTTAATAAAGTTTGTCTTTTTGCTAACACTTCTAATCCCTGTTCTGTTTATTCATTTCTAAGCAATTGCTGCCATGTGCAAAACCAAAATCTGGAAAGCGCCAGGAATAGAACAAATAGCCAATATTCGGGGGTAAAAACCCTATCCAGCACCCACCAGGACCTCGCCCGGGCATACAATGATATATTCATAAAACCCAGAAAAATGCCCTAAATGGATCACGTAGGGAGTAACATACCAACTCCCAAAAAGAGAAGGGACGCAGAACCCGAAGAACTACAGGCCCATCACCTGCCTACCAACAATGTACAAGATCCTCAATTCTATCATAACTGAGAGGACATATAACTTCCTTGAGAAAAAAAATCACACCTAGCAGAACAGAAGGGACGTAAAAGAGAAAGATACGGGTACGAGGACCAATAATTATCAATAAAACAATATTGGAAGAAGTGAAAACAATAAAATAAACTTATCGATGGAATGGATCGACTACAGAAAAGCGTTCGACAGTGTTCCACACTCATGAATAAAGAAGTGCTTAAAAATATACAGAGTATGCCCTACAATGGTCAAATTCATAATGGAGTGCATGAAAAACTTGAAGACTACACTAAATTTAAACCATACAAACGCTTCATATACATCTGAGACCAATCAACATCAAAAGTGGAATCTTCCAAGGAGATTCATTGTCACCATTACTCTTCAGTCTTGCATTAGTACCACTAAACTACTTACTGAACAACAGTATCTACGGATACAAGTCACAGAATGGCAAACTGAATCCTATATTGATAACCTTAAAACGTTTGCTATGGATGACAACCAACAGAAAAAACCTAATCACCATTGTGAAAACCTTCAGGGAAGACATACGAATAGAGTTCGGAATCGACAAATGTGCCAAAGCCATTTTCAAAGGCGGTAAACTAACGAAAACTACAGATTTAGACCTTGATATCAACCAGAAGATTAAATAACTAGACCAAAATGGTACATACAAATACTTAGGAATTAATGAAGGAGACGGAATACAATGTTCAATTATGAAGAAAAAGATCCGAAAAGAATATTATAGGAGAGTGCTTTTGATACTAGAAAACGAACTAAATTGAACTAATAAAATGAAGGCTATCAACAAGATGGCTATACCCGTAGTAACTTACAGGTTCAACATTAATAAATGGAAGTTGAATGATATTAAAAGATTGGACACCAAGACCAGAAAAATACTTACTCAAATAAGGATGCACCACCCGAAATCAGATGTTGATAGGTTGTATGTACCAAGAGCTTTTTGGAAGCCGGGATCTAATCCAAATTGAACTATAAAAACTGGAATAATCAGATTGGAAGCATACCTTACAAAGAGACAATGATTCACTCTTACAAATAGTAAAATACCAAATCTACTCAATCAACAAAGAAGCTGTACTCTTCAAGAAACAGCTTAATATATCTGAAACTCTACCAACAAAAAACGAAGCGAATTCCATCTACGCCCAAATGAGTAAAACAGAAAGCAAAACAATTTGGCCAAATGTAATTACAAAAAAAAAAAAACTGGTAGGACAAGGCGTTCCATGGTAAAAATCTAAAAAAAACGAAATAAGTAGATATGGACCAACAGAAAACATATCAGTGGCTGAGGAGCATCGGGTTGAAAGCTGAGTCAGAAAACATAATTATTACAGCGCAACCTGATCCTATCTCTGTCACATAATCAAGAATGGAACTAACGCGAAATGCAGGATTTGCGGAAAACATGATGTAACTGTCGAGCATATTATCTCAGGATGTCCGGGACTAGCAAAAAATGATTATACCAACAGGCATAAAAAGGTAGCAACATATGTGCACTGGAAGATACGCAAGAAGCACAAAATCGTAACTACTGAAGGATGGTATGATCACCAACCAGACACAGTTACCAAAAATAACGATGTAACTATCCTTTGGGACATGTCAATACAAACTGACAGGGAAATAAAACCAACAGACCTGATATCATCATAACACCCCCCCCAAAAAAAACCCCAAGAAATTCAGGAAGTGTATGCTTATTAACATTGCAGTACCATCTGTGAGAAACAACTCCATGAAAATTATCGAGTAATTGTCTAAATACAAGGACATCGAGATCAAGATTAACAGGATATGGGGAATGAAGACTGAGACTGTACCAATAGTAATCGGAGCTCTGGGCCTTGTGAGAAAAAGGAATGGACAATTTTACTAACAGTGTCTCAAGTAACATCAACATACAAGTTGCCCAGAAGACCGCCCTACTAGGAACATCTCATATACAAAGGAAAGTGCTATCAATTAAATGACAATTCTTCTATAGAGCCTATGACCATAGTTTGGATCCGGCTCTACACGATACTAAGCAAGAAACATAACATTCACAAATAATAATAATAATAATAATAATAATAATAAATTCAAGAATTATATGCTTATTAACATTGCAGTACCATCTGTGAGAAACAACTCCATGAAAATTATCGAGTAATTGTCTAAATACAAGGACATCGAGATCAAGATTAACAGGATATGGGGAATGAAGACTGAGACTGTACCAATAGTAATCGGAGCTCTGGGCCTTGTGAGAAAAAGGAATGGACAATTTTATTATCAGTGTCTCAAGTAACATCAACATACAAGTTGCCCAGAAGACCGCCCTACTAGGAACATCTCATATACAAAGGAAAGTGCTATCAATTAAATGACAATTCTTCTATAGAGCCTATGACCATAGTTTGGATCCGGCTCTACACGATACTAAGCAAGAAACATAACATTCACAAATAATAATAATAATAATAATAATAATAATAAATTCAAGAATTATATGCTTATTAACATTGCAGTACCATCTGTGAGAAACAACTCCATGAAAATTGTCGAGTAATTGTCTAAATACAAGGACATCGAGATCAAGATTAACAGGATATGGGGAATGAAGACTGAGACTGTACCAATAGTAATCGGAGCTCTGGGCCTTGTGAGAAAAAGGAATGGACAATTTTACTAACAG